TTCATTTCTATGACCTCGACACCTTTGAAGATTGGACCATCTGTAAATGTTTAATGAAATTAGCACCTCAAACCGCTGCAAACATATTATACCCCTGTTTAACTCGGAAACATTCGGAGCAGGCACGAAAGGCGAGAAAATAATGGTTCTGAATAAACCATGAGTAGGAGCCGGCAGTCCTAGTCTGGGATAGGAATAAATATTGCAGCGGATACCGAAGTAATGTATAGCTGGAATTTGATTTAATAATGACAGATTAAAGGACGACATCGTAAATCACTGCAGTTGAAAACTTTGCAGTTCTGATTTATGAACCAATGCGAAGTGGTTCACACAGATCATAGTTTTCAGTTATATAGTTGAGAAGTATACGATAAGTCGGCTTGACGCAGCTCCATATAACTTCCCATTGTTTACATTGTTAGTTATTTCATCTGGCCCCAATAATATAAATATCTATGGTCTCACCGGCCCAAAATTAGAGATTCGGTTTAGTTTCGGTTTCACTAGAAAATCCGTCGAAACCGAAACTACGTTCTCACAAATCATTGAGTAATTCCAGTTCAGGCTCAATTTCAGGCAGAATATTCAAACCAGTTTGTAGAAACTAAATTTCCTAAAAAATGCCATAGTTACTAATCTCTCGGATAGAGTTTTTGGTCTTTGAATAATGCTTCTAGAAAATCATTACTTATTAGTTCAAGGATACACAAATCATCGCTTAAAAAATCATCATGGCCAATAGAATCCGTTTTTACACACTAAAAATTAATTAGAGAACTTTAAACAACAAAATTAATCGTTTCAGTTAAACACAGCTTAAAAAATTTAATTTTTAGAGTGGTATAAGTACCTGTGCAATAAGAGCCTTCAAATTAAACTAAGTTTCCATCTAAATTTACATTAAATAGTGTTGGTGAAACAGGCATAAGGTTGTCTTTCTCTTTTTACAAAATGTTGGAAGCAAAAAGACATTTTTTATGTTCTAAGAGACAAATTAATGTAGTACCGTTTTAGTTTTCTTTAACTAACTCCCAATAATATTTGATAAAGACTGATTATTACATCTGGAGGTCGTTTTTTCCTTTAAAACTAAACTACAATTATTTTTGCTAACAATTACATGATCAAACGAACTTACCTGTAAGTGATGTTCGATCTTAATTATGTGAAGTTCTCGTCGAAATAAATATTTAGAATACATATCGTAGTACTCTTGTAATAGTACCCAACCGCCACGATATAAAAGCGCGCGCGCAGAGAAGGAAAGCGGCACCGCGTCCCTTCCCTCTACCTTTCTCCCCTCTGGCCGCCTATAAACCTTCATTTACTTCAAAGCCAAGTTGTTGCAACAATTGAGTGATACATAGGGAGAGAAGGAGCTATTTACTTCGACGAGGACTTCACATAATTAAGATCGAACATCACTTATAGGTAAGTTCATTTGATCATGCAATTATGTTCCGTCCTCGTCGAAGTAAATATTTAGAATACATCGTAGATGTTCAAAACGAGTTGCATCAACATACTACTAACGCTCTGCAATAGTAAACCATAGGTTGTACACAACTACACAAATTGTTCGCAATGTATGTGTCAACTAAATGTACATTTCTATTGTAACAATTCAAGTTAAGGCTTTTAGCAACAGGTAATATCGTACCTGGTTCAAAAATTACCACCCACTTCATGGTAATGAGCAAATAACGTAATAACACAGTTATCTTTAAGGTGTGGAGACTTGGTTCACCTCAAATGCCGCTTGAGCAAAGCTATTGTTTGACATAAGAGATTTGTGACGTATCTCAGAAAACGCACTCCAGCACACCGCGAGCCTGAGACTACTATAATTTAGCCGGCGGAGAGGTAGACGCATTTCATGTACTGTGGGTTGTCAATTGTTACACTCTCTGCTAAGACCTACTTCATCCATCTGGAAGTCGAAGCACCATGATAAGTTACTGTACAGTGACAAATAAATGCTTTGCACAGATATTTGAGCGTAAAATACGTAAGTGGCCTGCCACATGAGTGACCCGAGACTTTAAAAACTCAGTAATCCCAATTTCAGTTTTATTCAACCCAATCCGGAGTGTCTGTTTCAAATAGTTTGCACACTCTGACCTGAGGTTAGAGTGCAGTGTTGCTGCTTTCTCATCCAATATCTACAGAGTCAGAACCCTTGGCTGAGAATTACCAAGTACTAATTTAATGGCAGCTGTAACCTTCAAAAAACATCTTTGGATCGTTGATTGGGTAAAAGACTAAGCTCAAACATTAGTACTCTATCGAGTTAAGTATTCAAGGTAGGAAACCACACTGTATTCTTCCCGACTAAAGGTCCTACCATAATCTAAGCCCACAATACATGATGGATTATTCGATGTTGATTGGAATTACGCTTTCCAGTGACGATAACCAGGGTAAGCTTACAAATTAGTGGGAGCAGCGTCCTGGGTTCCTCCATCAGATCCTTACGTTACTTCTAGAAGTGAAATTTCACAAACACCGAATACTTATACCAAAATCAGGACGGTGGCAGGTGCAGCTCACACTCCGTTTCCACGTCTCACTGACGCAAAAGCTCATCTGTACCAGTATTACTCCTAGATTTCTCTCTTTACACTATTGCCGTAGTTTTATCTGGTCCAGACGTGGAAACCAGAAGCTCTCCATTCTATTGATGTAGGATGGGATATAATATGCGATAGCCCAACAATTCGGTAGCAAAAAATTCACCACGGAAGAAAACTACCAATTGTTCTTGATGATTAGCATGCGGGATCTTGTCGGGTGACCAAAAAGCTAGAGACTCCTCCCTGGCCAACAAATGTCCCAGTCCGAGAAATTATACAACAAAAAATTAGATAACTCAATACCTCTGACAGCATCTGCCAGTTTCTTTGAGCCCCAGCCGAGATAGACCTTAAGTTATATTATATTAATGGCATAGTAGCGTTAAAATTCCCTTGAGAATTTGACAAGGCAAGAAATTTCAATCGTTACTGTATAGTCAGCTGTAACGAAATGAAAGACAAGCTGACACCTAGATCCCGATGTTCATCGCAAAGTTTCGGACTATGTCTTGGTTGCTGTCCATTATTGCCCTTACTAGATTTAGTAATGTCTGTATCGTCCGCTCAAATAAAGTTACGCTCTTTCTGTGACAACTTAATACTGAGCTTGAAAGTGGTCAATTTTTTTTAAGGTATTCCAGAAATGGTTTTATTAACTTTGTGAACACATAAGGGGTATAATTTACCCTAAACGGTACAGCATTGCATTAGAAGAGCTGTTCATTGAATATGAATCTGAAATATATTTTATCACTCTCCCTAACCGGTATCAAAATCCCTGCATTCCAAATCCAGATTTGTTAAGAAAGTATCTCTACGGAGAAGTCCGATTCCAGTTCAATAGCCTAGACTTAAGTGTTATAGCTCTATAAATAAACAGTCTTGAGGTAAGGAATCAAACGTGTTGACTCGTCAGACTTGGGGGCAAGAAAAAGTTGGATAGGTGCTGGTTTTTAGTTAGCTCAACTTTTTTTCTGATAGCACCGCAGCTAAGCAATTCATAGATGGACTAATGGGATTCAGATATGGCAAAGTGCTAAACCAGTCGCCATCTGAATGGCAAGTGACCACTTGAGTCCAACTCAGGACTTTAGCGTCACTCCTAAAGCTCTGCCATTGATGATGAATACGCGTTAATGTCCATGCTGTGTGTGGTGTGGACTACCACAAGCTAGGTCCAATGTTACAACGTTATCCCAAATGACTTCGTTCATCCATGGTGTGGAGCTGACTATCCCAAGCTAGGTCCACGTAGTTATCCAAGTAACCGAGTATAATGCTTCCAAGTTATCCCAAACGTCTTAGTTCGTCCTTGGTGTGGAGCTGACTATCCCAAGCCGGGTCCACGTTGCTATCCCAAGCAACCGAGTCTAATGTTCCAGCGTTATCCCAAACGTCTTTGTTCGTCCTAGGTATGAAGTTGGCTATCACAAGCTAGGTCCAGGTTGCTATCCCAAGCAACAGTGTCAGAACGTCATCCCAAACGACATGCTAGGCACAATTTGCAGCGCCGGTGAGGCATCCATACTAATATTCATTTAACTTGAACCTAAAACAGATCGGTTAGTTGACAGTTACCTGATGGTGACACCCCTTTAGAAAAAATGACCTGCACGCCACTTTCTAATTTTGGTCGGCGACGAAAGCGATCTTCAGGCGACCGTCGGTAGGTATCCCGTTCGACAAAGCACATCTATCGGCCGACCTTCTCTCCTACTTTCTAAATCTAAAAGTTCAGCGGATCCTCGCACTGCACTGAACATAAACGACGCACGCCGGTTAACCACTTGACGGTCGGGCACGAGAACAAGGAATGAAGGTTTATAGGCGGCCAGAGGAAAGAAAGGTAGAGGGAAGGGGCGCGGTGCCGGTTTCCTTCTCTGCGCGCGCGCTTTGAAATCGTGGCGGTTTGGTACTACTACGAGGGTACTACTACGAGGGTACTACGATATGTATTTTAAATATTTACTTCGACGAGGACGGAACATAATAACTGATAAAGACTGAGTTTGTCTTTTCTTACCTCCCATATCATACTCCTCAGTCAAAAATTTTGGTTTTGGTCTCAGGTAGTTCTTTCAACGGCGAGTGAGACCGTATCTAATATAGCATCAGAATCGGCGGCATCTAGCGGCCACGGTGGTGGTCCTGCTGCCAATGCGAACTGGGATACAGTTCCAACAGACGACTTGCTGTATTCACTCTCGCAGTGGCCGATTCTGGTAGTTGATCACACTCTGTGCTGTCTTATTTCCATAGACCTCATACTCTGGATCGAGGACAGTTGCTCAGATTTCGTTCGTTGTCCTACATAAAACCAAGTCTAAACTGCTGTCCATGGTTAGACGTCTGTAGTCGGACCAACGAAAGCTATATTATTAGTTACCATACATTGTTTTTTAATTTACTTTGGATTTGTTTCAGAGTGCAACAGAACTTACTATGGAGTTGTAGGAAGGACATACGATTTGGAGCTGCATCGACCGAAGGAGGACAAAATCCCGTTCGTCTGTCATTTGACCTTCACTGCAGCCGGAGGACAATTTGGAGACCTCATTCAGGTAGGCATTTACTGTGATTTAATGATAAATTTTACGCAATACGAAAAATAACCAAATATATAATTAAATAAAATAAATAATTCTGTTTTGCTGAGGTCGATTCCAGTGGCATATGGCGCTTTGGCTTTTTTAAATATAAATATAATTGTAAGTGTAAAATGATATTCCACCGGTATTTTTCTTCCTACTTTTATGCTGACCACACTTTGTGCTTACCTCTGTAGCTAGTTGTACACGACGCTGTTCTGTTCTTGTTAGAAATCATCAGTACGTCACATCGTCGTCTATACCGCAGACAGGCGTATCTGACAAAAAATCAAATTTTAGTTAACGGATTTAAATCAACAAGGTATACCATACCTTCAATCCCGCAAAGTGGCGTAACTCTAAGTAGTTCGCTCATAAAGATATCAGCATAAAACTAAACGTCGTATCTCTCAGAAGTGAAATAAAGTACACCGCAAGTAGGCGTAAATGAAGATACGCCTACATGCTGTGTCAGTTTCTTGCTACTCTTCACCGAACTACGAAAAATCGCAAATTAAAAATATAATGATTTGACCCCACTTTGCCAGCCATCACTCTACCGGAACATCAACGTTTTTATTATTCACTTCCTCATGATGACACGCTTTAAACGTTATTGTTTGAGGTCACATTCTTATTTTTGTTCTATATTATCCTTGAGTTGCCTTGAGTTTCATTTACAACTCATAATAAAGTGTTTTTTTACTTGCTCTGATTTTATTCCATATGGAGTCAAAGGCGTATCTTTAAACCGATAGACTATTATAATTGTCAAGGTTACCGCAAAGAGGCGTATCTGAAAAAAAAATCAAATACATGTTTAGCTGAGAATATGATCTTCATTTTCTCTACTTACTGCTTAGGCTTAGAAGATGATGAACAACACACTTTTTAGCTATGTTATTGGAAGAAGTCATGATCAAATTGTCTAAAGTAGGAAAGATATATGGAATACAACAACTATCGGTATTCATTTTGCTTCTACTGAAAATTTGTATAAAATCAGTTATGCCTATTTGCAGTATGGACGACAACACGTTATGGAACAGTTCGGAGCTTCTATATTAATTACAGATAAGGATGATGTTGGTAGAAATAGGTATATATATGTAGGACTGTTTATCGTTTATGGCGTACTGATGTTCCTCAATAAAGGTGAAACAGTATACTGTATAACTTCCCACTCCTACTGGGGATGAAGCGAAAATGAGATACTATGTTTTTAGATTTAAGATGATATTTCCTTCGGTCTGTCTGTCTGTACACTAATTGGTTTGGTTAAGTTTTTCAAAAATGGTCTAGTGGCGGTGGAGCTATAGGCAAACGACGAAAAATATAAAAATCGCACAAACTTCGTATTTTTATTTTTAGAGGTTCTTGGTCATTTTCGGAAAAATATTGTAGGAGCTAAAAATTGGGGATTTTTGGAAGTGAGGGAAAGTAAGACTCTGGTATAATTATACGCTTACAACCCCAGTAATTCAAAATTCAACGCACCTATCAGTACATATTTCACACATCATATATTACCCTTAAAACTTAAAATGATAGGGAAATATCTTCGACATGCGTCTCTATCTAGGCTAACCCGCATCACAGTCTCCCTTCAGGAGTGTCGTTTGTGTCTGACGAACGGATTCGTCTAGCGGTGGGGTATGGGAGAAGGGCGACGTTGCCAGATAGATGGTATTACCGGTAGGGCAGGGAAAATATACCTATGGACTAACTGTATGGGCCTGCTTGATCCGTTCAATTTCTCTGTTTGACATGTTCGTTTTCTCAGAGAGTCTAACCTGTCCCGAACATAATGCCGTATGAACGGACGTCAGCGTTGCGTGGAAAGTGCCAACTTGACGCCTCTTATTAACAATACCCTCTGTTTATTATTCTACCATACGGGTAAAATACATAGCATACCGCAAATACATGTATGCACAGAATATTATCGACACCTGGAATCAGTATATTTACAAGCTTGCTATAATTGCTACTGTATATTAGACAAATTATGCTAATTGGATAATGTGGTATTATTTGCTCATTAAGCGAAGCATACAGTTTGCTGTGTATGGATTACACTAAAACGCAAACTGTCGTGATTATTTTAGATTTTAATTGGATAAATTTTGCGATCATTATATCTGTTTTTTTATTAGGTTGACACGTCAGATGTTCATGATGTGTGCCTACGATTTATTCGTTATTAAATTATAAATTATTAAAACATGATTTAATATCATGCGTATATATTTGTAGGTGAGAAATCTGACGATCGCCATGTACGAATGGTTTGCCAAAGCTGACTAATCCTCAAACCGTACGTTGTAAATGGCAGAAATGAATTACCCGTAAAGTATTCTAAATACAAAGTATTCACAAAGCAACCAGCAATAGCTTTCTATGCATAAATGCATAAATACGCACGGGCTGAACTGATTATGTTTGCTTTGTGGTGTTTTGTGCCTTTTCGCAATTCATCAGTCTAGTATAGGTCTAATCCTGGAGACTTGGAGACGGGTCGACAGTGATGGTCGTGCGACATCTATCTGCTATTCGTACATGACGACCGTCATATTTTTCACCGTCACTCGGACGGGTAATTTCTCGGTCTAAACGCAATAAACACAAATGTGTCTCAGTACATATGCCTAACCTATGTCATAAAAGTTTTCTCACAAAATATTTATTGGACTTTTTTTAATTAAGAAGTTTACTAACTAGTTATCATAAATTACAATTCAATACTTATAAGTAAACTATAATTTTGAATTATGTGGAGTGGCCCATTCTGCACTACCAGGCGCAACTTTCTTTGAATGTCTCTAATGAGGTCCTGGACGGAATTCAGATCAATTTCTCTTAGTTTTTTCGTAAATTCGACGTCTTAATTGTTCTCTATCTTGGGCTTCCCAGCCTCCATGATGAACCTTCCTAGACAATAAATCCCAAAAATCCTCTATTGGGCGAGCCTGCGGCAAGTTTGGAGGATTATCGTTCTTCGGAACAAAGGTATCATGTGTTGTCGAATCCAGTTTTGGGTAGCTCTTGATGCTATGTCTAACTAAAATATGATATGGTTATTAGTATGATGCTAATGGACAAACTGAAGCAATTTGGAAAGGCAGTTATCAATATAGCTGACTACTCAAAGCTTCACCTCTCAACCTTCACACAAACGGTTGGGATACATCACTGTTAAAAATTGCGCACCAGACAAGATTTTATCTGCAAATTTCGCTTTACGTTTGTATCTAACATTGTCAGGGCATTGCTCAACGTTGTCCGTATAAAATCCGTCATTTCCCTTCAATTCAGAATTAGTCAAAGTTAAATGCTTTTCGTCATCTAAAATAATGATTTTTCCATTGACAAAGTGTACCCGCTTCAGTTGACGGTAGCATCATGGCATACGAAGGAGTTGCTTGGAAGTATTTGGGGCACTTAGGGCCAATTTCACCAACAACAGTCCCTTATTCTCCACCTATAGGGTAAGAGACCGTCAAATACAACGAATGAGCTTCAGGTTCCAATTAACAAATTTTAGCAACCAGCAACCAATAGCACTGAAATGTTGAAACCAAAATACTGTCAAAGTATGAGATGACAGCTTGTCATTGAAACATCACCAGCTTATTGAATATTAAGAAATTACATATAATTCATTCAAATTTTAAAGATTGATATTCCCACAAAACCATTCAGGTTTTTTGATATCCATACATCCATAAAGGTTCAATTCCATGCTATTCAATGACAACACTGACTTGTGTGGTTGTCAGCGGCCATTTTGTGAGGGTGCGACAGGGTTGCCAGATTGTGCATTAATATCCCGTTTCACCTTCCTGGTCCCAGTGGAGTAAGTTCCGCCAACTGTTGAAATATACTCTACTATGCTTCATAAGATTATTCGTGACATTTTTCCCAAAATCATTGCACAACACTTGAAAAAATGCAAATGAAAATTTAAAATTAATTCCATGGCGCCGCAAAATAACTCCGTCGCTACCTTGGGTTATACATCTTGACAGTAGGGATGTTCGATACGATCCTATATTTAGAAGTATCAAAACATTTCACGAGTATGGTCATCTTTCGATCCGGACTGTGTCAGAAAGAGTGACTGCCATTTGGCTGCGACATTACCCTGCCAAATCAGACATATCTTTCATCATTTTCAAAGAAATTGTACAAAATCTTCAAATTTGTGAAGTTAGCGACATGCCCAAATCATCAGTAGCTGCCGTGATATTCATCCCGACCACTGCATCCCCACGGCTAGGCGACCTGTATGTTAAATTTGTATTGATAGGGCAGCGGGTTATGCTATAAATCATATGTCACAGTTTTTGTGCACTGATTGCAACGGTTATATGATACCAAAAATATTTTCATAAATAGGAGATCTCTCCCAATCCGGAAATTTACATGAAAAATCCTCTGTATGTAGGTATATAAGAGCTTTCTTATATCTGTTCATCAATTTGATGATACAACACATCTGCTAAAAATGATCATAATCAGGATAGTAAACTATGACGAAGGTCCACTGTATGTAAGAATTTTCAGATACTTCATTTGCAATTTGACAACAGACCATGACGGTGTTCACATTTTTCAAATATTCTTCAAGAAGTGTTATCAGTCTAGCTCCAACTATCATAAGTACTATGTTTGCATTCCTACTTTAAATTCAAAAGCAGCAAATGTAAAATATTCATGTCGCACCCTTCACCACGGACGTGATCGTGTTAGACGTCGCAACCCTGCGAGTGACAGATATAACCCCACCAGTGAATAAACATTCTTACACATATTATCTGTGTTTTAGGATGGAGAGGACAATGTTTTTATTGCTTTGAAGACATTCATTAACCCGTAAATTAATAAATGATTACTATTAAGATGGGAAGATGAGGAATTGGATGGAATGTATTTATATTCTATTTTCTTGCAAAATACAGACAAATAAACCCTATTCAAAAGGTATGTAATGATAACAGTATATTGAACTTAAATTCGAGATTGCAATGCATTAAAAAACGTCCAAATCTGCTGCCAAATTTAACAGCTAGAAAATCGACCTATTATTTGCCGCATTCCCATTGGCTTTTGGGGATAACTGATTAGTTAAATGTAAATTTATAACACAAATCAAAATACATGAAAGTTGACCTGTTTTCTCTGTACAAAAGCATCATGTTGGAATCAAGAAGTGGTCTTGTTTATAATACAGTCGAATTTTCACGATTTGTATTCAATATTTTAATAGAAGTCACTGATAATTCTGAGACCTTTGATCGCTTCTGTTAAATTGCTTTCGATAAGGTAGTTTCCATTGGGTCATAATATTAATGTTAGCTGAAATTGGCCCTAAGTCTCTATCGATATTTAATATCATTCTCCACATTCCAACGACATCGTCTCTGAGAAGATCTTGTATTGACACAGTCTCCTTGTTAACGATTCCAACGTGATTTGCACCCGTAAATGCATCTGGTCTTTTTTGAGAGAGTTAGACCATGGTAGGTCCAGCACCCACTCTGCTATGTTGTTGATGGTTCGTGCGTTAAATGTATTGCATTCGGAATATCGACGATTGCGCTTTGGAACGCCCAACGAACTTGGTAATACTTTATTATTTCTAATTAGACAATCTTGGAAATTGCCAAAGTAAATGTCAAAAAGTAAGTAAACAACTTTTTGTTTCAAAGGCACTTGTATATTTGGTGTTTGTTAAAATTAAAGTCAATGAGTTTTGTGCCAAAACTTTTACGACATACGTTACTTTCATATCTTCCTGAAATGCTTCAAATGTTCCAAAAAACATGCACAATAAATAATAGCCAAGGTTACAGCATAGTTTGGCCAGAATCATTTGCTCCATTTGGACGATTTTTTTATAAATCATTTTTTCTAGTAATTTTCCGGTATTTGTGAAGCATATGTTTCCTTACGAACACTAAAAAAGTAATAAGCTGAAGGATCAGCTAAAACAAGCAAATTGAAAAGAAAAATGAAAAGTTAGACTGAAGTGTATCACAAACGATAGCAATATTCTGAATACCACAGTGTCTCAAATTTTATATGAATAGCATGTACCTAGCAGTAGCAAGATTCTATTCAAATAACAAATGAAAAATTACTCTAAATACAATAACCTATAGGGTTTTACTCACAAAAAAGTCCAAGTCGCAAAACTGTTCTTTTTGTGGTGCGTTAATTTTTCTGAAAAGATTAATCAATTTTGAGAATGAAGGAGCCAAAAACTCAAATATAGTCTTAGTATTACTGTCAGTAACTGCAATAAACCAGCGCAGCGGTAACCACTACACCGATTACCCGGACGAGTATTCGGCCTAGTACGGGGTACTCGGCATTCCGATATAACCTCGTACCCGATTCTCGACTTTTCAAGAGAGTTGCCCTCGATGCTTCCTGCAAAGGATCAAACCCACTTGTTAGTACTTACCGTTTGCAAAACACATCGCTGTCCGCTGGCGCTTTTGGTTACAGAAACGGAAAGCAAACATATTCAGTTCAGGATGATTAAGCATATTAACCTTAATAACATTTTAACTCAGCTTTTGTGATACTTTGAAAAAATGTGCACGAGAGGCGTATTTGTGCATATTTTGTCAATACTCATAGAGAGTGTGGCTCGAGCAGCGGAAAGGTCTTCGCTTCTTATGTCGTCACCATCATCACAACCCGGTACATACACATATAATCAAATCAAATATGTTTCAGGAATTGACAATTTACAAAGTTTATTGAATTCGTCAAAAGAAAAGATTAACATGTATGAATTCGATACAATTACACAATTGAAATCACAGGCAAGGAAGAAATCAGAGTAAATGGAGAATAGATTCACGAATCATGGATGAATTCAAATTAAATAAGATATAAATAAATACATTAAAAGAGGACGAAGAATCACACTTAAGGCTTAAAACCTCATGGAGACAAAACTGGCCACATAATAGGAGCATTTATTCACTAAAATTCTTGTTTTATTGATACCTTAAAGCTATTCAGACTTGTGATTACGTGCGGATCTTTCGTGATTTATCAAAAATTTTGGGCGCAATTTTGCCTCAAACATACTTAGTAAATGCTGGGTGCATAGTGTCCCGTTGTCTTGTATTTATATTATGAACGCCCCAATTCAGGATAGATATGTGTTTATTTGAATAAACATACATATATGCAAAGTTCATAAATTACTAGAGCAGGAACCACTAATATTCTGAATTTTTGGAAGAGCTTCCTACAAATGTGAGTCGAAGCAACTTGCGCCATTGACCGCACAATTCGTGTTTGGGTTATGAAGTTATTTTGAATCGCGTATGATGATCCCCAAAAGCAGATTCAGTATCTGATTTGGGATTCCCCAAGACCACAGTCCTCGTATATTGCTGTTAAATGACTCTCTGGTAGAGCAGAGCTTAAACTTCTAAACATGTAAGATAAGATGTTCAGATGTGAAACTGATGCTCACAATGCACTTTAAAGTTTAACGTATCATCAATGTGTATATCCAGAAACTTAGCAGCCTCCTTTCGCGTTTGTACGACGGCATTCCCAGGCATGCCACGATGATTGAAATGGATGTTTCAATCAGTTTTTGGAGGAGAAAGAGTGATGAGGGATAATCTGAAAAGGTAGATGTAGAGGGCACTAGTTAGATTCAAGGTCATATCTAAGGTTATAAACAGAGAAAGGTGTCAGCTTCAGGTCAGCTGTTCGCATCGAAAGATACCAAAACTTGATGGAGTATCGTGAAAATATTTTACCTTCCTATCAAATCAATCTTGTTCCCATATACTTTTGACAGCGTGACCTCCAACCACACTAGCCCAACTAGCGGGCGGAAATCGCAGTCAATGTTGCTTCAGGTCAATACAGAAATTAATAATAGTGGTATGTCAAAAATCGTACTGAAACAAAACGTGGATTAAACAAGTATAGAACGCCATTGATCTGCATTACATGTCGTATTGACCACAAAAGAGGAAACTGTGTTTGATATATAATGGGTGATTTTTTTGTTAGTATCTTTTTGGCAACACGGTTTTTGACAGATGACGCGTGAATCGTGTCTTGTGTCATTGTCAGACTTGTTCAGTTTGGTCTATAATTTAACCATGAATCGACTTACGAACGAACAACGCTTGCAAATTATTGAATTTTACTATCAAAATTCATGCTCGTTTAAGAGAGTGCATCGAGCACTGCTTCCAATTTATGGGCAATTTGGTCGGCCTACTGAGGACTGAAGAAAATATTGCGGCTGTATCCGCCAGTGTTAGTGATGACCGTGAAATGTCGATTCGCCGCCGTTCGCAGCAATTGGGCCTCTGTTACTCCACTACGTGGAAAATTTTGCGACAGGATTTGGGTGTAAAACCTTATAAGATACAGCTGGTGCAAGAATTGAAGCCACACGACCTCCCACATCGTTTCCAATTTGGTGAATGGGCGCTGGCAAAGTTGGAGGAAAATCCACATTTTTATCAAAAAATTGTGTCCAGCGACGAAGCTCATTTCTGGTTGAATGGGTAGGTTAACAAGCAAAATTGCCGCATCTGGAGTGCAGACCAGCCAGAAGCATTGCAAGAGCTACCAATGCATCCCGAAAAAATCACTGTTTGGTGTGGGATATGGGCCGGTGGCATCATCGGGCCGTACTTCTTCAAAGACGACAATGGCCGGAACGTATCTGTGAATGGCGAGCGCTGCAGTGCGATGATAACAAACTTTTTTTTGCCCAAAATGGAACAGCTGGACTTGGCTGACATGTGGTTTCAACCAGACGGTGCCACATGCCACACCGCACACGAAACAATGGCCCTATTGAGAGGCGAGTTCGGTGAACAGTTTATCTCACGTTTGGGGCCCGTCAATTGGCCGCCTAGATCGTGTGATTTAACGCCGTTGGACTATTTTTTGTGGGGCCATGTTAAGGCTAATGTCTACAGGGATAAACTAGCAACGATTGATGCACTGGAAGCCAATATTGAAGCATTTATTCGTGAGATACCGGCCGATATGTTGGAGAGTGTGCCAAAATTGGGCCTTGCGCATGGGCCATCTAAAGCGGAGCCGCGGCCAACATTTACATGAAATAATCTTTAAACAAGATTTAATCGTTTTTTCAAATTTTTTGAAAATCAAATCCTATACCTCTTAAAAAATCACCCATTAGGTAGCCCAGTGGTTAGCGTGTCGAGCTAGCAATAGGACGACTCGAAGCTCGCGGGGTCGAATCTCAACTCGGAAGTTAATCCCACCCATGTATCTTGTATTGTGTGTTGTCTATTTACGCACCAGGTCGGTGTAAGGTCAATAATATGTACATCGCATCGCTGGAGCTGATTATTCATAAATAATCAGTCACCAGTAGTTGCCCTGAGGAGTAGTACAGTGTTGATACTCAGTAAACAAATCACTTACTATGCGTGTTCTAATAATGTCCTCTAATAGCAGTTTCACGTACTAACACACATAACATACCGAATATCAATATGAAATGCTAAGAATATATTACAACAGCTATCACATATTCTAATAACATGCCCCAGCATTAGGTGATATGAACTAAGGTTAGTAATTATCACGAAACTTACCTTTTTCCACTAAAAAATACTGCCAAATAAGGCATCACTTCGAGTCACACTCACCGCACGCTATGTTAGTTACGCACATAGATGGAATAAAACAAAATGAAAGCTAGTAAACGGATGGCTTGCCATTATGCCATTGGAAAAACTGATAAATTCTGAGGATTGTGCTTAGCACATTCCAAGAATATGCCGTTTTATTTCCCGGTGAAAGGTTACTATCACGAGATAAGAATAATTAGAATCGGCGTGCCCCAAAAATGTATATTCTTATCACGAGAGCAAATACATATCCCTTATGTAAATGTGCTATCAACGTTTCCGTTCTGGCTATGAACGTTTCCTGAATGTTCTTGAATCGCATATTTTTATAACGGTCATCACGATACTCGAGGTTCGGCAAATAGGGTCAAAGGTGGCCTAGTTTCCAGGCTTTACCTATTTACCACTACTACTTGTTTGACATATTGAAACACCGATTTATACCAAAAGGATAACGTCGTCTAATAATTCTGGTGGTATGTTCTCAAGAGTGCTACGACATTTTCGCAATGGCCCAGTATTTTTTAATTCATTTTCAGGCGATCTGTCACATAAACATGCTCCAATTTCCCAAAAATATCGAGCCTTCGGACAGCATATCAGCGCGGACACATCGCTATTTCCTGACGAATATATTTGAATGGGCCCGCTCGTTCGCTTATCACAACAACTGTCGACGCACTTCAACAATTCCAGTCCGGAGAGCGACATTGTTTACTGCTGTTTATCTAGATTGTGCATCCAGAGAGAGCTAAATCATCATTTGGCGTGCCAAATAATACGATATGTGTGCAAAAATAAAGTAGATTGACTCTGTACTCGTTACAGACTAATGTTCTTCTTGTTCTTCTTCTTTTTGCATATAATAAAGGACTAGGACTGCTGTAATTTTGAGCAAACTTTTACAAGATTTAGGTCTACTGATAAATATAAAGTGATTAGAATTATAACTCGAAATTTCGCAAAATAGGTCAGATATCCCACCTTAATGTTAATAATATGTTGAAACTCCTCTGTTCGCTACGCATTCGTTAAATCGTTGCTGCATTGACTGGATTAGGTGATTGATGTCTTCTTGGCAGATTGTATGCTAGGCCATCTGAATTTGGTTTCGTAGTAGCCTCCAATGTTTGTGGAGGATGCGGTGAATTTGGCAACATTCTTCCCATCATGTCCCATACATGTTCGATGAGGGAAAAGGTCTGGAGATCGAGGAGGCCACCGAAGCAGATTTACTCCGGACGCTTCTAAAAAGTCTAAAACTAACACGTGCGACATGAGGCCTGACCTATCTCCAATAACTGAACATGTCCGAGACATGAAATGTTACAGGCTCTTGAATTTTCAACGCGTGTCAATGAGTGTACAAGAATCCGTGGATCGTCAACACATTACTGAACCAGCTTCTGCAGTTAGTTGACGAATTAAGCTAAAAATTTAATCATTTTACTAGTAAGGGACACGAACATATATGCCAAAAATTATTAAAATCGGATAAACATACGTAGGTGTTTACCTTTTTTTGTCACTCAGTATAAGTTTACAAGTTTTAATCAAAATTCAGTAAGCACTTCTGGGTGTTGCATTTTATATGTCATTCAGTATAGTTATGGCGGCAGAAAATTCTTATGCTATTCGCCAGAAGACTTGCTGGGTTGCTCACACGTGGTCTGACTCTCAGCCCTATGTAGAACACAAACTATTTACACTTGTAATATATTTAACATGTAACGGCTACTAAAAAGACTTTTGCCACTCGACGAATGATGACTTTAATGAATTGTGAATTAGTGAACGAATCTAGCTGGAGCTCCTGCACAGGTTGCAACGCGATCCAACGGTGAGCAATTTCAATGTGAACCGTCCCCTAATATAACTATGCAGGCGTACAAACTCGATAGCGAATAAGTGACACTTCCATCTAGATCGCCAAATGCAGTGCTACTGACCCCTACGTCGGCAGCAGGAAACCGCAGTTTCCTGGCATCTCCGATAGACAGTCCGCTTCGATGAAAGCAACGAATTCGAACAAAACCTATATGTCTACATGACATTACTTATAGACAAAATTTAGTAGATTCAGTGCGTAATTTTGGCTAATCTGCCTATCATTTGTGTGTGTGTGTTGTGTAGAGCAATGCAGAAATTATATCTGTGCTGCGATGTGAATACTATTGTATTGTTAATAAACAGGGATAAATTAAATAAGGCAACAAACAAAAATAAACATTTATTTACGGTACCGCATAACAGCAATTCTGCTTTATTCGTGATTTTGAAAGGTGAACAATACAAAATACTCTCTACGTCAAACAACAACAATAGCGGACACATGATATTGAAAATAATGGGACGCCTTGCATGAATTCTACTCGGTTTTTCGGATCAGTTGTCGTGATCCGAGCAGATTTTTGTCTAAAACCAAATACCTAGTTGAGCATAATATGGAAATTTCTGCTATTATATTATTGTCACTATATTTATCTAATAAAAAGGTTTGGGAATATTTTAATTAATTTGATATACTTACATAGCTTTTTGCGGGCAGAGCTTCCTTCATAGAATCTCGTGGACAAAAATGAGGCCGTAAAATTAATATGTACACAAAACGTGAGAATATATTCTCTGAGCTTTTAGATTCAAAATTAAAGTGTATACATTTGTATTTTAGTTTAGTAATGTTAATGTTTCGCTTCGCCTTTTTTGGTATCCTTCAGAAAATTTGGTGCGTCTCCAATATTTTGCATTAGATTAGAACTGAAGGCTCAATGAAACAAAAAGTAAAATGAGATAAAGAAGAATGACTTCACAACTATCCAGGTAAAAGCCCAATCTTGAGGTACATGCCTTTTCGCATAGCAGAAGATTATATATAACACCTACGTTTTCTTCTTATTCAGTTTAAACTGTTTTTTGCAATCCACAGAAGCCTTCACCATTTTAGGTAATTGTCTGGAAAGCTACGAACCCACGCACTTTTATATGATCTCGCAGGAAAATACGAATTTGAGTGGAAATGTCTACAACTGTCAATCTTGATCTCAGATAGTTTTCTCAATGTGTGAATATAGCATTAGGTTGGCCTTGGCTATCCTTAGGTAGAATACAATAATCAATGAATGAACCTTCTCGGGATTTCTGAAAAAGGCACTTTTCGGACAGAGTTGCAAATAGGACCGCCTTTCTCTAAGCCTTGTATAACATTCATCATCCGTCTTAAATATTGCATGATACCTGAACCTGATATATTTCCTTCACTTCGTTATAACATACTGCGTTCTGTCAGCAATCGTACTTTTCTTTTCGTCTGCGGGGTTTTCCATCTCCGCCTCTGAATGTGAGTCTGAACGAATGTCCCTCACAATTTTTATTATGGCCCTAGAAATATAGCTGCCCCCAGGGAGATACATTTTTTCATCCGACCTATTTCGCTACTCAAGGGCGACTACACAGAACCGTATTCAGAGAGAATTCAGCCAGGCTTTTGCACCGAATTTTGGCTAGGTAGAAGGAGCATGTATATGTTTTGTTTGTCGCCAGTAGGCCTGGGAAGTAAAGCGATGTTTTCTGCTTTTTGCGCCTAGTCTAAAAAAACTATAAAACTCAGTCGTCCTACAGAGTTGCCAGTAGAAGTGACACTACCTGGGGTGGCTGAAATGCTGCCGTCCATTTAGGTGCGATCACCCATTGTTTACCTCTGGTGATAGTCCAGCAAGCATCTTTTCATCTGATTAAAAAATATTCTGATTAAGTTTTTTGGATAACTTTAATCAAAATGTTTCCTTTTTGAATAAGATCATGTGAAAAAACCAAATCCAAATATCTTTCAGAGCCGATGCTAAGGCACTCCCTGGTCTATGAAGCATGAACCCAAACAAATGAAAAAGGCTACTGTCCCAGGAAGTGAGTCGCGTGTACGTATGAGCATATAGCGCGATTGACTATGCTGCGTGCCTGGATGCAAAATAAAAGAGGGAAATGAGGTGCCGATGTTTTGTTGCCTTGATAATGATGTTAGGCCGTTTTTTGATAAATGACATTAGCTCGAGGTTTAATAGATGAAGGATATCCATCTAACATTTACCTATGATTCATAAGTGTACAGTGTGCACTACTAATAGCAAAAAATTCCAAAATAATTTGAATTATCCATATTCTTGCAGATTCGTGATATACAGGACAGTATGGTTTCGATAAGATTTCTTAAAAATCATGAGCCATAAAAAACCTTATCGTTACCTGAGATCCATAAATGATGTTCAATGAAATTTTAATACAAAGTCACTATCATACCAAGGACGAAAAAGTAATTCCTAGCAAATATAAATGGTTGTATTAATTATATATTAACTTGATGGGATGCATGATTGCATAACCTGTTATACAGGGTAATTCACAAGTCGTGACCAAAAATAAAGCAACATACATAAGACCGCATTTTAAGGGGATCTTCTATGTAATATTTTTCCTTCGAGGGCTTCATTAAAAATATACGCGGTTTAAAAATAAATAACAATTTTTTTTAATATCTAAGTATTGTCCACATTCAAAAGTCTTTACTTAAAATTAACGAGCACCAGTGGCGGAGATACAGGGGATTAGTGGCATTATTTTTCCAAATAAAAATACTACGCCTCTGTTTTTTTTCCAAACGCGCTATTTTTCGAGTTTTACGATTTGCTACAAATAATTACCTTTGTATTTTTTCCTAGAGTGCATGGTGTACGTGAAAATAAAAAAACAAATTTAGATAATCAAAGCTTTATTTCAGTAAATGCTCAAGAAGACCACCATTCTGATGGATACAAGTGTCATATCTTTTTAATAATGAAAAACGTATTTCCTCAAAATTTGTTGTGGCTTGAATTTGATGAAACGTATTATCTATTCTTTCTTGTGACTCATCAACAGTATTGATTTGTTCAGCATACACTAGTTGTTTAAAAGCGCCCTACAAAAAGAAATCCAGCGAGTTCAAATCAGGAGACCTCGCAGGCCAATGTACGGGTCTATTTCTATCGTTGTCCAAAATAATTACTTAACCATGCGGTTATGTCACGACGAACATGTGGTGGGGCACCGGGGTATCAACCACAGTCGTACTCTCGTTGCTAACGGAACATCATGTACCACATTTCCTATGTAATTCTCTAGAAATCCTAAGTATGAGTTTGCAATACGTGCATAAATAGTTGGCCATTGAAAATGCCGCTCCAGACATTTCTAGGAAATCTATGTTGAAACGAATGAATTCTTACAGAACTGGGATTTTCTAACGACCAAATATATTCATTATCATTATGGGAAATAAAGGTTCCACTTCTCGTAGAAAGCGATTCATCAGACCACAAAAAAATCAATAAAATCTGCTTTTTGATTATGCATTTGCAGTAACCACTCACAAAAATTTCGCCGTTGCACTTCGTTGCCGGGTTTCAGACATTGCACATTTTGCTGATGGCAAGGATGTAAATGTTCCCAATTTAAAATTCTCCACGCAAGACTTTGGGAACATGGTAACTGGGCTGCAATCCGCCTAGTACTTGTACTAGGATCATCCAACGTCAAATTAATCACTTCCAGTTAGTCTTGAACGGTATGCCGGACACCATGGCCTCTAACTCCAGGAAGTTTGGGAAATCCATATTGCCGAAGTCTTGGAAATGAAGGCGTAAAAACCTTTGGGATAATCTGGCGTCTGTTAGGAAATCTACGTTGATACTCCCGGGAAGCCACTAAGGAATTTCCATTACAGAACTCGTATACAAAAATA